TGTCGCGGCGACGCGGGTCGGCGGCGGTGGCGACGGCGATAGTGTGGCGATGCTATATGTTAGACAATTAAATGCAAAGTCCACTTACCAATTATATATTAGCCGCGACGCCTCTCGTTCCGAAGATGATCTATCTCGTTCTCGTATCAAGTTCTGAAATGATGAAAGAAACGCTACTAAAATAGTGGAGACTGGAGCGGTGTCGTCTATCCGCGCGATCAACTGCGCGGCTCGCGTGCCAATAGCGCCACCGTACGCGCTGCGGCGGCGTCGGTGCAACAGTGGCGCGCGGCGACGCCGACGCTACATATTTCGATTTTCGATCGAACGAATATTGCGAAATACGCATGCGATCAATCTTGCATCTAATTATCACGTAATATAGATTCAACATTCAAACTCTGATTCGATCGGATGCGTAATCGCAATACTCGTTCGGTCGAAAATCAAGAGATATACCGCCGCCGACGCGTCGCCCGCGCCGCCACGCGACGCTCGTTTCGCGTAAGCTGACGGCACGCGGGACGAATTACGCCGCTTCACTATCTTAGTTATCCATATGTTCGCTGTATGTTAACACACGTCATACTTATGGATAAATCATAAATGCGTAATTAAGATAATGAAGCGGAGCAATTTGTCCTGCACACAGTCAGTTTACGCGAAACAAGCGTCGCGACGACGCGCGACGCGGCGAACAGTTGCGGCTGACCGTGCAAGCGAATTAATTGTAACTTAATAAAATGATAAAAAAAACAAAATAAACTTAGAGATTTCATGTACCCGTATGTAAATCCTCCATGCATTCCTATTCATTCATTATTTGCAGCGCATGAGCTGTCTGAGGCTGTACATCGTTCCTACATGACGCGACGCTACACTCCTCCGAACTTGCTGCGGACTCGGCGCCCGGCGGACTGCCGGATAACACTCTATAGAGCGCGCGCGGCGCGTACGCGCTGTTTATATACTGCCTTGCGCGGACCATGGAGAGAGACCGCCTCACCGCCCGTGTCAGTTTTCGGCGGACGATTGGCATCTCGCTCCTTACTCCTAATCGTCCGCCGAATAAAAATTCTAACATCATTTTTTATTTCATTTATTTGCAAATAAGTTACGTTATAATTAAACATTGAGCGCATGATAAAAAGAGGCCAGTGCCATTACTGCCACTATCCGTCAGTACGAAATACGAATTGTACGTTTTATGCGGCCGCACGCGCTGCGCTACTCCTAATCGTCCGCCGA